TGGTAGACAAGAACTGGACAGCTTTGTAACTGATGAATTTGGATGTCTATCTGAAGTCTGATGAGTAGTTTGAACTAAAAGTGATGACAGATGGTGATAAATCATGATGAAGACAGGCCAGGGTAATCATCAGCCTTCTTGAAGACTCAGTGGACTTTACTTCCTCCAGTGATTCGACTTGCCACTTAGGTTAAAGCGGTCTTTTAACAATAAATATTAAAACGTGTCCCGGTAGGAAACAGTTGTATCCAGGGTAGGTTTTAAAAAAGAAAGAGCATTTCCATACTTCTGTTTTTGCCCTCCTTGTCACCCATTCCACCACCAGGCCCCTGTGGTTCAGGTAGGCAAATGTAAATGACTGACATGTGTTGGATTCCATATTCAGACAGCAGAGCGTCGTCTCTGTCCAAATACGTGTCTTTGAAGACCAGTGGTACTATAACAGACACGCAGAGGAACACACACAAACACACAGAGAAAGAGTCAAAACCAGGAACTAACATTCTCCAAAAGAAATCTCAAAGTTGTAATTTAATTCCCACCTAAACCTAAAACTAGCTTACATTGCCAACTATCTAATCGCAAAACGGAATTTGGGTTTAACCTAAACGTGATTGTTAGCTGATGATCTAGGCATTATGTGGGACCCACAGTAATGTTGGCCATGTTACTGGAGGGACTTTGGGCAATGTATGGGGTCCTTAGGGTTAGGCAAATGGAGGACACACACACGTCATTTAAAAGACGTAAGCGGCCTACTGTAGTAGCCATTTTGTTCTGCTGATGTGCTTGTATTGGAGGTCAGATTTCCCAGTTGAAATTTCCAACCGTGAAAAAGTGATCTTTAACATCAAGTATACACACAATTGAAACCTCAGCAGTGCCCTTGGTGTTAATTAAGTAGATTTAAATGAAAACGAGTCATAAATATGTTGTCATTAATGGTGTTCCTGTCTAGCCACATTGGTTGGTAATCTGCAAAAGTCAGTAAATGTTGTATATTTCCACGTTTTAGCATTTTATAGCACTTTTAATGTGTTCCTGAATAACTTTTAGTATTTAGTTAAACACAGGCAAAATAGCCTACTTTAAGTTGCCTTTAAGGCTAGCGTTTACAACATGCACTTCAGTGGGTACTGCTATTGTTGTGTGACGTAAGACAGTTAACTCTTCATGAAGTCGGGGTAGATGGATTTGCTCCCAGTTCATAAGTAGGAACTCTGACTTTTGAGTGGCGTTTCATTGTACTTTTTCTAGTTGGGGGTGTCTTGAACGCAGCATTACAGGTGAGCAAAAGTGGTGAGAAGATGTATAAACATGGTGTCACAAATATACAATAAATGTGTAAGACTAGTAGATTATAGGTGATGCAAATGTGAGATTTATTAGTTTTTTGCAAGTTAAATGAGACAGCATGTCATGTTGAACAGTACCTACATGAGGATGACCTAATGAGGAATCGGTAAGTTACAACAGCCACCTGTAGCCTGCTAAAATACCAAATGTTTGCGTGCGCAGAGTATCAGATCAGTGTGTGTTTTCACAGGTACAGTGAATGCAGACATTTTATGTTTCATGCAAGTTCAAAAGGAAACATGAATATTTAAAACATTTATTTTATTTTATACCTATTCATAAGACGTGTTCTTAACAGCCTGCTGTATGTAGCCACAACATTCTCTGTACAGAGCAAAGAGAAGGTAAAGGAATTTATTTTAAAGCAATGCAATGTCCGAGTGTGCAAAGGTTATAACATGCGTTTTCTATTTAAATTATGAACATGTTTAGGTCCCATGTGTAATCCAAAGTGATGCTACCTGACAACCCTGGGAGATTCTCTGCCTGACTTATCTTCTCCTTCAGCTGCCGCACTGTGATGCTCTGAAACTGCTCCTCGGTGTCGCAAAGGCCGATGGTCGTCTCCGTCCCTCCGGACAAACCGACTTTGATGATGACCTTCACAACCATTTCTGTGGAGTTCGTCTATGAGTTTCTGCCAAGGGGGTAAGCCACAGTTGAAACAGTGAAGCCGACCAAAGCCTGCATGGACGCTTATGTAGGCCTGAAAATGACGTCAAAGCCCTGTGACATCTTGTAGTCTCTACAGCTGTTAGAGCCGACTGATCCAGCTGCGATCAGCTGCCGCCATCTTAACGGACGTCGCTTTACGTGACGCTTCGGAGGAAAGGACGTCATTCCTCTAAAAACACATTTCCTCGTTCCTTCTCTCCTGGCTTGATTTCCTTGCGTCTCTCGGTCTCTCCATGCATCCCTTGTGGGCGGGACTAAAGTGCAATTTATACTTCTGCGGGAGGAAAAGACGCAAGTGAGAGAAACGTGGATTCAATTAAGAGACTTGAGAAGCACCCATACAGTCTATGGTTTCTGCCACGATTGTTGACTTCCTGCACTAGAGCAGGTGATCAAGGAGGAAATGGCCTGACTTAAATGCTGAAAATTAAAGGAATACACACCCACCGTTTACTTAAAAGAAAACGTATTTAGCCCTTATCTAGGTAACGTTTACTATAATTCAACTTAACCTATTAATTGTGATTAATTTTTGCCTGCTGTTTTAGTATTTTGCAAATTTAAGTTTCATTATTTAAGTCTCTATTTTTTAATCCTGTTGTTTTTAATGCTCCTACTTCTAGCATCTGTATCATATGTATCAAGTCAATCAAAGTAACTAGTCACTATCGCTGTTTAATAAATTCAGTGGAGTACAACATATAAGTACAATATTTTCTTCTAACTTAAGTATGCAGTAGCTTAAATTATAAAGAAAAGTACCAGGAAATTGTACCCAAGGGTTAGCACTTTTAAGTTTATAAATGCTTGTATTAATATAGTTTAACATAAATGCATGATGCCTATTTGATGATTTACCCAAACACTGTGCATGTACAGTATGTGACTACAATATTGTGTTGTACTTACTGTATATAGAAACAGTGAAACTGTTACACGTATCCATCTGCAATACCAAGCGATACATTTGATCTCAACAAAACACGGCTGATCACAGGCTGTTTATCTGTCACAGCTGATAGCAACACATGATCACTCTGTGATGTCAAAAATTACCTCCGGCTGAACTCAGACAAGAGATCAGAGATCCTAGTAACTGGGTCCCAGCAAATGGCAAAGCAAATACTGCCATCTGTTGGTTGCCTTGTGGATCATATCAGGCCTGAATCTTGGTGTCTGGTTCGACAGTAATTTAAGTTTTGAGCAGCACACCACAAAGCTTGTGCAATCATGTTTTTAGCAGCTTAGAAATATATAAAAAATATGATCAATGTTAACTTTTAAGGACACTGAGACAGTTTTACACATCTTTATAGTATCACGCCTGGATTACTGCTACACCTGCTAAACCTTTTACTTGCTTGACCCAAAAATCTATTGATTGACTGTCCAGAACTCAGCTGCTTTTAACCAGAACAAAGAAATATGATCACATCAACTTTGTTTTACCTTCATTACACTGGCTCCCAGTATGTTTTAGAATTGACTTAAAAGTTTTATTGACCACTTTTAAAGCTCTTCATGGCCTCTCTCCCTGTTACATCTCTGACTTTTTAGTCCCATACACAACGGCACGTACCTTGAGATCCTTGGGTCTGTTGTCTGTTCCAGAGTCTCGACTGAAATCTAAAGGGGACAGAGCGTTTGCAGTCAGGGCCCCAAGGCTCTGGAACAGCCTACCCGAGGAAATCAGGTCAGTGAATGAATCATGAGAAACATTAAAATCAATATTCCAATTGAAATCTGGCTTAAAATTTTCCAATTTGTACTAGAACCAATAATTCTAATGGTTGCGAAATTTGGAGGTCAAAACTTAATAATAAATTTGACAAATGGGACAAAACAATATAGATCAGGTCAGATAGAATCTTTCCATACCGAGTTCTGTAAGAGCATCCTGCAGGTGCAGAGAAATCACCAAATAACCTGTGCAGAGCAGAGCCTCTTACTTAAAATCCAGAAGAGATCAATTAAATTTTACAATCACTTAAAATCAGTTAACCCTCAGACATACCATCACAAAACCCTAACATACCAGGAACTCAAAACAGAGAAGAGTCCCCTCAGTCAGCTGGTCCTGAGGCTCCCCAACAGCCTCAGGACAGCAACACCAACTCAAGCAGACCAAACCAAATTATCAACAAGCAAAAAGAAAAACATATTGAATACTGGAAAGAAACGACCAAAACACAAAGTAAATTACAATGTTATCTGACCCTAAAAACAGAATTCACACTGGCAAATTACCTGAGCACAATAAAATGTCCTAAACTAAGAAAAATGTCCAGACTGAGTGAACACAGCCTGGCCATAGAAAAGGGTCGCCACAGACAGAGCTGGCTACCACAAGAGGAGAGACTCTGCTCCCAGTGTGACACAGGACAGGTAGAGACAGAACTGCACTTTCTAACCTCATGCCATAAATATAAAACATTTCCCAAATATACCCTGAATTCAAATTCATATCAGACACACAGAAAGTCCCCTATTTACAGGGAGAAATGCCCAAATAATTACTGCAAAATATGTCTCCTTATGCCATGAAGTGAGGACAACCAGTGGAAACTCTAAATACTAAGTACTAAATAATAGTACAAATTTTCAAATTATTATTTTGATTGTTTGACATTTTAGTAATTGTTTTGTTTTTACATTTGATACTGATTTCTTTTTATTATTTTTTTAATCAATTAATTTAAAAAAAGTTTGTCAATTAATATACACACATACGTTTACAGTATTATCTATTTATTTTATTTTTAATATAATATTACAATAACACACATGTTACTGTTTCATTTATTTATTTTAATTTTTAATATATTATTATAACACACACAATTACTGTTTCATTTATTTTATTGAAAGTTTTAATATATTTTTCTTTTTTACACACACACACACACACACATGCTTCCTGTTTTATTTATTTTATTTAAAATTTTAATACATTAAAATTTTTCTAACACAAACACGCTTTAATTACTTGTTTAATCAAATGTATGGGGTTGATTGTTCTTATGTAGTTTGTATGATGCTTTGGCAATATTATTGTAACACATTCATGCCAATAAAGCTAATTTGAATTCATTTGAAATGAGTCCTTGAACTCTTTAAAGTCCCTTCTTAAAACATACTTTTATAGACGAGACTTTCCTTATTTTAGTTAATCTTAATTATGTATTTTTCTTTCAACTACATTTTAATTTCATAACTTTCTTACTGTTTTTACCATGTATCTTATTTTGTTTGTTGTGTTTTATTTTCTTTGCTCCTGTGAAAGCACTTTGTAACATTGTCATTGAAAAGTGCTCTATACAGATTATTACATTATTACATCAACAGCCAACAGTGTCAAAGGATACTTTCAGTGAGTAATATTTAAAAAGCATAAACATAACAAAATACTAGATACTGAAGTGACAAAAAACACCCATCATTTAAATGTACAGATATTATCCTTATTATTTCGTCACCTCCATATTTTGTTCCCGCCCTTTGCAGCATTTCGTTTCGCTCCAGAACTTGCAGTATTTTCTCTCTTTGTCACAGTTTTTTTGGTCTCCAGTTTGCGGCTACTGTCTGCGGTCACAACATGCTGCATTTTCTCCTTTTCTCTCTTTGATTTTGTGCATAGGTTTTGTGAATAGTTACACCCAGTATGTGCATTCATGCTTAATTTACTCCCGTGTGCTGTCAAGTATGGATGTGAAGATGAAGAATAGCCATTGGAGGACACATAATTTGCCTTTACATCAGAATCAAGTATATTTGCACCGACACCTGCCTCTCTGCTCTGTTTAAAACCCATTCCTTCTACCTCCCTTTTGTTTTTCACAGCTTTAGGTTCTGCAGGGTTGACACTATTTGTTGTAATGCTACTATCAGTTACACTTTGCAGCTTTGCAAAACTTGACTTCTGTATTTGCAAACCTGGTTGGTAAATGTTTCCATCTGCTACAGGGTCTGTTTGAAGCAACACCCCTTTGCGTGGCCGCACACTCGTGGGTCTCTGTTTTAATTGATTTCCCAGTCCAACTGGACAGTCTGTCGGTTTCTCTAAAACCACATCACAATTCAAGTGATTCACGTTTTCTCCTCCATTTAAGTCTTCATCCTTCGGTTGATGATAACTTGGCTTTCTTCTCTCTGCTTTGTCATGACTTCCTTCAGCCTCAGCTTCTGAATGTCTGTTATCTTTAAATATAAAAAGGTTAAAAAGTTATTACGAATGAACACAAACAGCAGAAGTGTGCAGACCTAGGCCACACTATTGATAACAATCAAAATGGAAATTACATGTTTTTACTACAAACTAAACTTAAATTTCTAAACACATTTCCCCGAGCTCGTCTGTATGGATGCTGAAGATCATGAATACACCTTCAAGTAGTCAGCAAGTGGGTTGGAAGTACTGGTTAATCTACCATCATTTGAGTGTCTTCATGATGCTTTATCTCTATGATGTTTCTTGGGAAATACATCTTAAGCTTAAGAAGGTAAATTTTTGGACCAACTTAAACTTAAGATGCTTTTGGGAAAAGAGGCCCTGTTCTGTTGTCCATCTTCATTATGAGCAATCGATAAAATGCCTTTTAGTTAAAAAAAATTTAAATACATAAGTTTAAATAAATCATAACAGAGCAGAAGAAAAATCAATAAACTAAGAAGTAATACTGTACATTTGCAAACCTACCCTTCCTGTACATGAGGAGGTAAGCTGTAGAAGACCTCAAAGATTTGTCTCCAGACCCAAATAGTGGCTGTTTGACCTGCAGAATTGAAAATATATCACAGTGAAAAGTGTTAAACTTCATGTTGTTGAACCTTAAACTGTGTGAGAATTTCTGAAACTGGACTACATATCAAAAAATTAGCCTCCTTACCCCTGCAACGATGTCATCATTGAAGTGATACCACTCCTTATTTTCAAAAGATTTGATCTGTGCAGTATAATGACCTCCTATTAGATTACCAAAGTGGTTAACTAAAGCGTAGAGGTCATATTTGCAATTCTGAAGAAAGGGAGGTAGAATAAAGTCACCAGATTTAAGGAACGTTAAATAAAAAAAAATGCTGCAAAAATAAATAAATATATAAAAACATACCTCCATGTGTAAAGTTTGGGGGACATCCACTTTGCAGTGAAGCTTGACGTAACACCTGTATTTGTAGTCAAAACTGAATCTCTGCAGCAGGAGGGTCAAAATCCTTGGATTTTGTGTTATCTCACATCCCTGAACCACATGATGAAAACAACAGCATGAACAAAACAGTCACAAAGTCACCCATCACACTCAAGTTTTTTCAGCGTAGTTCAATGGGGGACCAACATAGTTTTCTGGGTGCGGCAGAGATGCAGGCATAAAATGTTTTCTTTGTTGACTATTTTATTTTTGTGTCTATAATTTAATTTGTTTCATTTAGGAATGTAGCTTAATGTAGAAGTCAGTTTCTCATCATTAAGTAAGAGCTAACTATGGCCCTTTCGCAGCTTGTGTAACACTCATTTGGCAAAAGATGACTCAAAAATGACAGTAGCTGCTTAATTTATAGTAGAAATAAATTACTTCTGTCCATTTCAAAAGATTTGTGTTTGAGACACAATTGTAACATTTACTGATATTTCCAAATTATTGACCATTATTAGATGTTACAAGGTTAATACGAATCATTTATTGGGATTTGGGAACCTTGTATATACATTATTAAGTACTTTGAAAAATTATGTTAAGCGTTTGCAAACTATAAAAATGGAAAACCTGATGAAAACAAATACTCACAAAGTCTGCATCTTGCTTTGTATTACACCGAGTGCAGTACATCTTGTTATCCCCACAGACTTTTTCTCCCTTAAAGAATGCCTTCAACCCTTTCTCCTGTAAACATAGTATTTTCATTTGTTTCTTATGTATTTCCAAAAAATTTGTCACTTTTATTTTTGTCAAAGGAAAGCATAGTACCACACTGTAAGTTTGATGACACGAATTGTCCACTGCAAGTGGCAGAAACCAAAAAGAGCTCCTGGAATCGTGTGTGTCTTTGCACCTGAGGCACGTGGTCTTGTGACTCACCTCCCCCTTGAATATCTAAACATGAAAGGTACAATATTAAGTGATTTTCAATATGTCCTGTGCAGTGTTGGACAAGTTACTTTCAAAATGTAATACATTATAGATTACTAGTTACTGTCATTTGAGAGTAATTAGTTATATTACCATATTACTGTCCCTGAATTGTAATGCTTTACACTAGTTTTGCGTTACCTTGAGTTACTTTAACTGCTGTTTGATGGGATATTGGATATTGGATATTCTGATATTATTCTGGGCCTGCATAGGTGGGTTCTAGTGATGTTCACAGGTAAATCCGCTTATCGGGTGGATCTTTGTCATAAAAATTAACCTTCTGATTAATAGCGGGGGGGGTGGATGGGTGAAAGAAGATTAAGTAACGCGCTGTGCGCATTTCCACACGAGGTACAGCAGCATAACATCACTGATTATTTGAATCTCCCGACACTCCGACAGGATTGGTCAGGATGAACTGACAGCAGCCTCTCTAATCATGATAGTAATGCACAAACACATAGCTTATAGAAATCTATTTACGCATGATCCATCACGGGAGCTACTGTCTTGTTAAGAGGAGCTCAGCTCCCCCATAGTTTGCACCTTGCCTATAGTCTCAACCATCGGATTCCGTCAACAAGAAATAACGTTACTCTTTTACTCATGGATTTTTTTTCTGGTGCTGAAATGTTTCTCGGTGTTTGTCAATTATTAAAAAATATAACACCACTTAATTTAGGGGTAAAATGCGTTGTAACACACCTTACTGAGATAGTAATGGCTATAATATTACCAGTTTTTTAAATCAAGTTTTTTTAGTAACGCATTATATTATTGCGTTACAGCAAAAAGCAATACATTACTGTAATTGTGTTACTTTTGTAACGCGTTACTCCCAACACTGGTCTTGTGTAAGATGTCTGTGAAGACTGTCAGTCATACGGCTCATAGTTGGATAAGCCATTTGTAGCCTGGTAGTTAAAGTTCAAAGGAATATTCCACAAAAAATCTATTATTTTTATTATTAAATACACATTAAATACTTCCAACAGGGTTATCCAAATCTCTAATCTGTTGATCCTAGTCAGTGGTCAAATTAGTACATTTACTCAAGTACTGAATTTATGTACAAATTTGAGGTATCTGTACTCGGATATTTGGATAATTCCTTTGACACTTTATACTTCTACTAAACTACATTTCACTTTTCAAATTTAAAATATGATGCATGTCATTTAATGGTTTAATCTTCTCAAATGAGAGGACTTTTCCTCTTTTTCAGTTACCGTAATGCTGAATATATATAAGTTTGGATTGTTGGTCAGAAGAAACAAACCATGTGAAGGTGTCACATTGAGCTCTGGTTAATAATGAGGGGCATGTTTCATTATTTTTCTTACATTTTACAAACCAACCATTTAATGCTGCTCAAGAAACTAAAAAGCACATGAATCCATACTGAAAAATATAATATGATATTTAAAATTTAGAGTAAGATTAAAATGCTGCTAAAATCTTAATCTAGTGATATAGTAGACAATATAGTGTGTTATTGGTACTTTTATTTAAGTAATAATAAATAAATGAATACCATCACTGATCCTACTGCTCAGTATTTTCCAAACAATCGTTGCTCTGCTAATAAATCAATAAATAGTTCCTACAGACCTTCAGAATTGTAAAAAGGCAGCAGCAACAATATTTGGAACATACTGATCAACAACAGGGAAGTAGATTATGCAGCAGGAGTGGTTTGGCAAGATTTTATGGATGATATAATGTGACTCTGGGTCAAAATGTGAATGTGCTGTGAATCCAAATTGATGACAGCTGATATTCTCTGCAAATGAGCAAGACACAAACCTGTCAAAGCCACCTTTCAAATCCTACAGTAAGTGTGTATTTGATACTAAAATTTAAATCTGTATATTTTTCAATCCAAGTTTGAATGTATCAGCCAGAGTCCATGTCTGTTGGCAACATTGGAACCACAAAAAATGTGCATGTCTAAGTAGAAATATCCCAATTAGACATGTAAAATACAGTAAAATACTTTAGGGGTTCTTTAATGGCTTGTTTTATGACTGTGTATTGTGCTTTATACTGATTGTATTGTTGGTTTAAAGTGTGGACAAAGTGTGGACACATATGATTTCATTACAACTTTAATTTCAGGTCTTCATCAAGTCATCCCCTCTACACTACAAGAACCAAGTGCTGACATCCAGTCTCCGCTGGATCATTGCGCAGTATACAGTAGGTTATGTGTCTTGTCTTAATTAAACTCAGCCAAGCGTCAAGTTAGCAAGTTAATGTCTGCTTGTTTGTCTACCAGATCTCTACTATCTCTCTAATTTTCTGTTAATCATCTCTAATTATCTAATTATCAGTGTCATTTACACTGACACTGATTAATGTGCACTGTCCCCTATAAATAAAAACTTTAACTGGTCTCTACCTTGGATGCGTCTGGACTGGTCCGCCATAGGATCTTCTCAAAATATTCAGCAGCATCACGTTGCTCATATACTGAAAGGAGTCCGTGGACAGAGATAATATCTTTAGTAACATATATATGCAGCTTCCCTGTACCAGGCTCAAGGGTCTGCAGGAACACACAAACACCTACAGCAGCGGCGTGATGTCTCAAATCCAAGCTTACCGTTTGTGATCTCCAGTTTTTTTATAACTTGATGTGTTTTGGCCATTTTTTTCTGTAAATCGGCAAACAGTTCCCCCAGGTAAGGGTCAATGATTGTTGAATCTTTACTGCAGCATCTGTGACACAGTGAGTAGTAGTATATGTGACTTCATTAACATGTAATTAACCAGTGAAGCAAAGTCAAATTGTGAACCGAACTCAAATTGTTTAATCTGATTTAGAACAATGCTCTGCTCATGTGAACAGCACTGATTTCATCCATTTTATAATTCTTTTTCACAGATCTGTCTTAAAGGAATAGCTTGACATTTTGGGGAAATACGCTACTGTAAATATAAAGCTGGATCAGCTGGTTAGCTTAGCTTTGCATAAAAGACTTGAAACACTAAAACAGCTAGCCTGGCTTTGTCTGAAGTAAAGAAAATCAGCCCACAAGCACTTCTAAAGTTCACAAATTCACACAAACAATATTTTGTTTGTTTAATCCATAAGTAAACCAAAGAGTAAACCGACTGATGTTTTACAGAGGGTTATGCACCAGGCGGTTTCTTGGCTGGGACCAGTAGCTTCCTGGACCCACTATAACACCACATGTTGTTTTTTCATCTTGCTTTTGTTGATTAGTGAGCTTTAGTAGTGGTGGTGTATTTTGTTACATATGGAAAGGGTTAGGCTAGAAGTACTCGGCAAGAAACCGAATAGTTATTTTCCTAAATGTTACTGCTACTTTAATTCTGTAAAGAGCAAAAGAAGCCACTTGCCACCTTTTTCATTTGATCTGACTTCACGAAAATATAAAGACAACCAAAATACAGCTGGTGATACGAACCCTTTCACAGCCTCCCGGAAGTCTTCGGTCATGAAAAGCACCTGAAGAATGCTGTTTAAATAGCATGTAAGACCTGGACTTTTCAAGCCATGGTAATCTAAAGACACAACAGGGACATATGACACATAACTGCCAAATAATCATAAACCCAGAAATGTTTGAGCAGCATGCTTCAGTAGCTTCATGTCACGTCACTTACCTGAGATGGTGAGGCGGTCTAACTTCTCTCTGAACATTTCCACAAGGCCATGATTCATACTGATGTCTTTCGAATGAGAGTGTTGACATTACATTACTAAAGTGTTGTTTTGTATGGATTGAGCCTGTGGAAGCACATTAGATACAGCAGAGGTTAAGGGACAGCAAGCAGGTTTACATGTTATGAAGACAAATTCACAGCCACAGTTTGGTATTTTTTTTAAATGTGGCCTTATTTTACACTCACTGCTTATAAACTATCAGTTCAATCATTAACAAAACAGTAGAACAACGCTGAATGGTAAAAACAGCCAGAAGGAATGGCATGAAGGGGGAGTATCACGAATAGAAAGGCAATTGAAGGAGTGTACAGAAGCCTACTTTCAAAACCTTTCATTAAGTGAAATTACAGTTCACCAAACACATGAAAAATTATCTCGTTGCTGTTGTGTTTGGGTGTTATGGAAACCCACGCAGCCTCTCGATCCTCCATTACCCAGCACCCCCAAAACAGGTTTTAGAAAATGACAAAGGGAAGCTACAATAACACAATAACGAACCTAATATAAAGTGGTAGACACACACATACTCTATCCTAACTCATAAGGTCCGATAAGACACGATGGCTTTTAGTTTGGGTGTGTAAAATGGGAGGGTGAAACACGAGAATAAGCGACTCACCGTGCAGCATGTCTGGTTATCTGACTTTCACTTTCTACACCAGCGAGAGGTTGAAGGAGGAAGATACCGCGACAGCGAGAGGACGGAAACAAACACAAAGCCCCCGGACTCACAGCTGAAACTAGAGACAACTTTAGCTAAATCTCTGAGAATTGGATTAGAGCTAAATAATCCTCCAAAGTTGTGTAGTGTCATGTGTGGCTGAAGTGTTTCTTGGTGGGCGCAAGAATAAATTGAAAGGCTTTAAAAAAAATACAGAGACAAACTGCGCCACCGAGGTAAGACATCAGGCAGTTCACTTCTTGTAAATCTGCTCTGCCAGTTTAAAGACTGAGGGTGATTTGTACTCTTCACTGTGTGTAATAATCTCTGCTCTAAATTATACTGAACAGGCTGTTGAGAGATAGGCTATTCTTATCAAGCTTACACTCTCTGAAAGTTAACTACTTGAATTATTACATAGGCTATTCATTGGTTTAAACTGTATTGAAGTGTAGTCCTGTATTTTATTTCGTGGTTAAGAGTCACACTGTCTTTGTCAATCTCTTCATTATTATGTTTAATAGTTTACAAATAAGTGTGCAAAATGAACATGTTTTTCAAAACATTCAATTTGCACACCCATATGTTAACTTATCCGTTTAACAAGGTTTGTTTCATAGTGTTTTACAGTAAATACTACATGTACTTGGAAATTCCTGGCAGTTCAGTGTGTCACTTGTAATTATATCAGCTATGCTGATAAGGGCTTCTTAGCTGTGATGTTTGTCTTGTCAACAATATGTCTCCAGTACTTCTGGTCATGTTTTCAAGAAATTATGCTTCTTTTAACTCCACAACTTGCCTAACAATCGTCAAAGTTTTTAAATTGTATTCAAAGTACTCCAGCGATAGTTACCTGTGCAACAATGAGTTAATTTAAATCCCACTAGTTAGTAATTATAGTGTCAGACCTTCTTCCACTTTCTTCCACCTAGGAGAATCAAAATGAGCATTCAGGGACAGGAACAGGTGGAGAAGAAATACGACCCCCTAGATACGACCCTGAAGTTTGTCAAAGGGAGGGACGACTTGGATCCAGTGTGTAAGATACATTTCCTGTCTCACTGAGCATGTAGACAGAAAAGTGCAACAAATAAGGATGTGGTTTTCATTTTATCACTGACATGCATGACTACAGATGATCAAAATTTTGCTTCCTCTTTAAAGTGAGTGTTAGTGTCTGTTTCATTTTCTTCATGAGCTGTTTTTTTATTGTAATTCACTGTTACACAACACACCCCCATTCCTTCTCTATTTCTGACAATTGCATTAATAGTAATTCACCACATACTGTAGCTAACTTTGGCTTACTTTTACGTTGTGTGACTCAGCCACAGACGACGGCAGTCTCAGAGCAGAGATGTCCTGCGGCCACGCTGTCACTCCTGACTCTCTAACACTGTGGTGTCGCAGCCAACTGGATGAGGTATCTCATGTCTGTGTGTATGTAGATTTAAATTAAAGCAGTATGATAAAACTTGGAAGGAAACACTGACTATGCAAAGACAGTTAGTAGCATCTATCATCTGTGACACCAGTCAGACAAAGACAACAAAACTGGTGTAAAATCATGTTTACTTTTATTGTTTCACTGACAAGACTTAGCACTGAGCACAGAAACCTCCAGATCAGGCTTAGACTATCATCTGCAACTAGATTTCTTCCGTGCTGACCCTGCCACCTACTGGGAAGTGCAAAACATGTAACTCTGAAACAAGGATCTGAATATTTAAGTGTAGTTTTGCTGTAAACAAAATGTTAAAGAAATGAAATGGGGTAATCTTTACAACCTACCTAAAAAAAAAAGTCTGCAACATGGACATTTTATAAAAACACAATTGAAATTATAGGACGAGAATATTAGAAAGTTCAAGTGACAAACTTGTATTGATGATGTATGTATTAATGTATTGAGAGCCCTGCAGTGTTGCTGATGGACCATAATTGTTATTGGTGACATGCCTGTTTTCTGTCCAGCACTTATAATTTGTGAACATGCTTCTGTTTTCCCTCTCTCCCTACAGAATCAAGAATGGTTGACTGCCTGTAGAAATCCAGCAGAAAGTCTCAACCTGTTTTATAAAATCCTAAACTGGTTCTTGTCTTTGTTGTTTAAAGGGTCATTTTAAATTCAGATGCCCTGCACTGGTGGAGGATACCAAACAGTGCAATAAACTGTGGTCGTACAGAGAGGTGCGCAGACTGGCTGATTTGTCTGTAGAGGAAATGCATCACTTTGAAGAGACCATTGCCCGCCTGGCTGCTGCAGAATACTGTGAATTTCAGCCAGTAAGTGGTCCAAATATGTTTTCTGAAATATTGTGTGTTCTCTGTTCCAGTATTTACCTGCATGTTTTCCATGTCAGTGTCCACAGTGCAAAACAAGTGTGGAGAGGAAGGATCTCTCCAACCTGTGTGTCCAGTGCACCATATGCACAGCTGATCAGAAGAAGGCCTACCAGTTCTGCTGGCAGTGTCAGAAGGAATGGAAAGGTCAAGGCCCTCGATCTGACCGCTGCGACAATGACGGCTGCTGCAACAGGGACCTGCAAATTCTGCACACATGTAAGACCATCAGTTTGCCCGAGGTGAAGGGGGTCACCGACTGCCCCTCTGTCCGAGCCTGTCCTACATGCGGCATGAAGGTGGAGCATAGTCAACAATACTGCAAAAATATCAACTGCCCTCGCTGCCACGTGGAGTTTTGTTTTGTCTGCCTGAAAGCAAAGCGTGAATGTTCCACGACCAGTTCACCATATGAAATCTGTCCTAGTGGTGTGGCTCCTAGACAGACCTCTATACCTGTGTGGCAGAGAAAATGAAAAAATAAGACTTTTATTATTAAAGACTAAAGGTATTCGTATTATAGTACCCTGTAAACTCTTAGCAATTGTTGATGTGTGACAAACACACATGCTGTAACTCCATCTGAGATATAACATCTTTTTTACTTGTGGCCCTACTCTGCCTCCTTCTGGCTGGACTTTAAGTTGCACATGACACCGTCTGATTACTGTGAATGACTATCACTCTGTACTAAGCTGCTTATAATGTTAGATAAATTCGATGTCTACAAAATTAATCTTCTCGAAGAAAGTTGATTTAGATTTTGACTTCTGAAAATGTCATTCAATAGATACACACTTTTGTATAATGGCTTTTTATTTAGGGGGGTGGTGGGGGTGGGTGGTGGTTAGGGTTAGGAAATTTACCTGGCAAAATGCAAGAAGAAAGAAGAAAATGTGACAAATAGCTATTATCAAAAATAAAATTAATGTTTGTTAGTTTCTATTTTAAGGGTATACACATTCGTAAATTGGTAAATATAGGCTACATAGATATAAACACTCTTCTGTCATCGCCCCCGATTCAAAACAAACAGTTATCCTCAGTAATCTGTGGTCTCTGTTATCTATCGACTCATCGTCTTTTACAGATTCCCTGTAAAAGATAGAAATTTCTATCACATTTCATATTTCTTCACCTGTAAGTTGCAGTACAGGGTTTGTACTCGTCTCAGAGACTTGAGGGCTGACCTTATCTAAAATCCACTCCAGGCATTCAGCAGCATCACACTGTTAATAAACTGCAGAACCATACATCCAGTTTACTAATTCCACCAATCTACCAACTGCTCTTTACTTTTTGATGATCTTCTGTTAATTACTGTCGATTTTACCATTTTTAATCCGAGATGTTTCTGTTCCACATGTTGTTTTCTTCAAGTCTTCAAATGTTTCTTAGCTGCAGATTGATTTGTAATTCGGGCTACATTTTCACCTCACCTACTAAAAATAAGTGAAATCCTCTTCCATGTCTGCCTTTGTCTTCTCATCTTGAAGAGGAACACGCTCTTCCATCACAGAAGTTTCTTCTAACTTGTTCATGTTTTCGTGTGTGATGCTGAAATGGATAGTGTCTTGATTACAGTTGTCTTTGCATCTCTGCTTATTATTTCACACAGTTACACAGATTTTGTCTGTTCAGTTTTAAATGATGTGTCCTGTTCCTTTTACTGATATGCTGTCGTTACAGTGTTATCTATTTTATCCTCAATACACATTTTATGACTCTAAACTTCTTTGCTTATTACCCAGCAAAAAAACTTAGTCTGAACTGTCTTCAAACCTTAAATCACTTGTGTTCCACCTAGTGGTGAATGATTTTATATCTGTAGGAATAGCCTGCTGTTGTCCTGAAAATATGCTATAGATAATCAAATCTATTTAAAAATCTGTCAGCAAACACAGCTAAAATCTATATCACATTGTTTTACATTAAGCAAATGACATTTGAATGGGTTACCACAGCCTATTTATTGCTGTTTTGCAGTATAAGACAAAATTAGAGATGTATAGTGAGTGCTGACAAGGAATGGAGGCCATAACACTAGTTTTACTTTCGTTTGTGTCACAGTCTGCCTAGTGACATGATGATGTTTACAGAAAAGAAAGAGAAGAGGCCACCAAAAAGTTTGATTGGACCTGGAGACCTATGATCTAACACTTTGATAATCTCAAAATGATGGGTTAAAATGATCTGGAAAGAGTTCCCAGGGATATCTCTTGTTTTTCATTGTTTGTTTGTTTCTTTTTAATACCGAAGACAACTCCTCAGTATCAGTGCTCTTGTCAGTAAATATTTGTGTATTGAAAATAATTCACTATGTCACTATGCGATGTGCCAATAAAGGTTGAGATGGGAAATCAAAAAAATATATCGAGGGACTTTCTGTATTTCCAGTAGCTACTCAACTTACGCTTTATGGTGACCGCGGCCAAACCGAAAGTCAAAAACAAAAGATAGTCAAAATCAGAAAGAAAGTCAATGCTCTGATCGTCTCTGCGGGAAATAGGGGTTTTCAACGATGGGTGGAAAACACCTGAGAACTCGCAAACTCTAAACAAATAAGCAATGCCCTTATGCCGCCCAGTGTGTCTCCCCTTCTCTTTTAATTTCACATTTATTGTACACATTGTAGGTTAACTCACGTGCACTTTTTTTTTACAGTTTGAAGCCTGTGTTTTAAACCTTGTAGGGCCTGTTACTTTTAAATTGCAGTGCATTCATTTAATTTTGCATAATGTAGGCCTAATATTTTAACTTAATATTTTTTATGTCCTTGTTTTGGATATCATTAAGGTTATTTGTCATTGTAGGAATTGCAGTAGGTCAGGTCCCTTTTTGCTTTCAGCCTGATGATATTAAAACAAACTACGCCTACATTAAATAAACAATGCCCATGCAGATTCGTGACTTAGGCCTACATGCATTCTATTTATCGTCTTAATAACAGAATATTTGTCTGACTGCAGAATCAGAATCAGATTTATTGCAAAGCTGTTTTAACACATACCAGTAGTCTAATTTGTTTGGGCGACTAAGTGCGCAACAACAATACTCATAAACTGATATAAATATAAAGATTCCTATTAAAGAGTCAGATATGCATAAGAAATATAAGAAAACAGAAAACTCAACATCTTTGAAAAGTTTATTTACAGGTTCTGCCCAAATAAATCATGAGCATTTAATAATTAGATCTTACAGATTTGTTTTGACACTGAAAAAGTTGTTTCAGGCAGGAGTAGAATTCGTTTGCACTGATTGTGATTTAATATATACTATAGAAAGATGGTTTTGAAAGACTGATGGTTTTGAAAGATGGTTTTGATGAAAGACTGCGGGGTTTGTCTTCAGCAGGTGCCTCCGGATAGTCTCGGCACTGTATGAATTGTGGACATGTGCTGGATCTGGGAGGAATCCAGAGTGGCCACATCCTCCAGCGTCTTGGATTTGAAGACAATCCGCAAGTCGTCATCTTAAAGCAAAAGTAAAAGGTCTTGAGAATTATAGCCTAATTATGTTCTATAGGACTATAGGCCTGTAGTTTTAGACATTACAGGCTAATCCTTCAGATATGTTTATGTTCATCGGGTGAAAAGAAGGTTTGGCTAAAGGGTGATTTCTACGGTTCCATTTATAAAAACAGATCAAAGGTTAAACCACATTAAAACAAATCCACACAGACGTCTTTTACATTTTCAAATGAGAGGAAAATAAAGGACTGAAAGAGCGCCTAACTGTTAATATTCACACATAAATAGTTACATACCTGTCTTCATTTCCTGATTAATTTTCTTTTTCAGGTCCAGTACAGTGATATGCCTCAGCTCCTCTTTAAAGTCGCACACCTTCAGGAGTTGTTCCCCTCCTCTGGGCAGACGTACGCTGACCTGGATGCACATTTTGCTGCAGTGAGGACTGGTGTGCTCTTCAGGGTGGTTTATTGTGGTATCTAGACAAACTGAAACCTGGTTAAATAAATAGGCTACATGCTATCTGATGTTTTTTTTCATAAGTTACGTCACATATTAAACTGACAGTCATATGACTTCATGGAAATTAACAGCGAAAGAAACCGAAAGAACTCAAAGCCTCAGAGTGTTTAGTTTGAGTGAGTCCATCCATCCATCGTCAACCGCTTATCCTGCGTACAGGGTCGCAGGGGGCTGGAGCCAATCCCAGCTGACATCGGGCGAAAGGCGGGCACACCCTGGACAGGTCGCCAGTTGGTTTGAGTGAGTAGGCTACATATTACATTTAGTCAAGATGGACAGCAGTGTAACAAGTGAACAGAGCAATAACTCCAGACAACAGATAAGCAATATGACACAACAGGAGAAGTGTTACGACCCTCGAGACAGAACACTTACATTTGTCAATGGAGAGGATGACTTAGACTGTAAGTAGCCAAATGTCACATTGGTCCTAACATGTGGCTATAATCTTCTGCTAACTGTGCCTTATTTTTGCTCCTTGTTTTTGTGCGTCTCGTCTGGATCGTGTCTCATAGTTTTGTGCGATGACTTCAAGTCTCTCAGAGCAAAGATGTCCTGTGGTCATGCTGTCACTCCGATGTCTCTCACCAACTGGTGTCGCAGGTTGCTGGATAAGGTACACTGTTAACATCACCTTCATCATGAACTTCAAAGACGTTTTAGTGAATAAACTTCACTGACAATGTAATTAGTGATTTTAGGGGCGTGGGGGGATGGTGGTCAGAGGAGTCAGCCTTACATGTCCAGTTTAACCAGTCAGGAAGAAAAAGTTCCAAATCCCCTGATTCACCCTACACATGCACAGTTTAGTCCCTATTCCACATGGGAAAAAGTAACACCCTGTGGCAGGCACAGCCAATATTATAAAGAAAAAAAAATCACTTATCTGAAAAATTATTTTGAGATATGTGATTTTTTACTTCATTTTTTTATAACATTACCTGCTTTGTAGATAAATTCATCAAACTTAAGTCCTATTTTTTGTGTGTGCATGTAGATATCTTTCATGCAAGTTGTTAGTGCTAATGTTTTAGTTGTAAGATGTTGATAAGCTAGTTAATAGCTACAAGAGTCTGGGTTAGTTGTAACAAAAATACAAACACACACACACACACACACACAGACACACCAATCATGTTAAAAAAATTATTTATGTGTTGAACAAAAAGCATTTAAAATTATGTTTTTCTCACATTCCTTCTTATTTATTTTTACTAAGGGTGAGTACAGATTTGTGTGTGGCAAACCTGACTGTGATATTGAGTGGCCATATGAGGAGGTTTGTAAAATGGCTCTTCTAACCAAAGAAGAAATGAAGTACTTTGAAAAGAAAATGTTCCGTAACACTGCCAAGGATTACTTGAATGTCAAATTTGTAAGTATCTCAGTGACTCTGTATTTACACTATTTATAAACTATGAAAAAATGTTGTGAATGCAAATTCAAGGGTTTAATTTAAAAACCTCTCATTATGTGTAAATTCACTCAACAGTGTCCTGGCTGCAAGTCTTGTGTGGTGAGGGCTGATCTCAGTGATCTGGGTGTCGAGTGCACAAAGTGCACAGCTGCCAAAAGAAGACCTTTCAGATTCTGCTGGCAGTGTTTGAGGGAATGGAAAGGTCCGGCTCCACGTTCAGACCGCTGTGAAAATGATGGCTGCGTCAATGAGCCACTAGAAACACTGAGAAACTGTCCAGATATCGTCTTTGAGTCTGTGAAGGGCGTCACTGGCTGTCCCTGCATCCGTGCCTGTCCCACCTGTGGTTTTCTGGTGGAGCATAACAGAACTCAGTGTAAAACCATCGTCTGTTCTCGCTGTAAGGTGAAGTTCTGCTTTGTTTGTCTGCAGTTCACTGAAGAGTGCCTGAAGCGCAACGCATACAAACTTTGCCCCACTGGTGTTGCACCGAGACAGACCTCGATACCTGTGTGGCAGAAAAAGTTATTTTATAATGTCAATCATCATAACTGATGTTACTCAGCCAGGATCTCAACCCCACACCAACTTTTAGTAGTAGTTATAAAGCTTTAGAGCTCTTTTGTACCATCTTTCCATAATTGGAACATTTTACATAGACAACTAAGTTTATTCTGTTTTTCACTTTGCTGGATTTTATTTAGCTTCTTTAATGTTATCACAATGTTTCAGTGTGTCATCATTCTGATCTCCATAATATCTTTATTCAGTCTGTTCATTTCACATATTATTGTTTATTTTTAAGTTATGCTCCTTTGTTTATTCTCCTAAAACAAGACCTTTTTAAAGCATAATGTACTTAATACTAACAAGGAAAGCACAGCCTGACTTGTGATTGAAGCAGGAAACTAACATTGTCTAAAGGAGCAATGTCAGTGTGCAGACACTACCTTTCGTCAGGGCACAAAACCAAGCTCAGGTATCTTTGTACTGTAGAGTTAAAAAGACAGCTAATAGAAAAAAATTATAATATGAATAAATGTCAAATATGTTTATCAAAAGTGCTGTGAGTAGTTTTGTCTAACTTATAAATATCATTGGCACATTAATTTGTATATATTGAACCTTGTTATTCTTAGAAATTGTTGATGTGTGACAAACACACATAGCAATAACATCTTTTTTACTATTGGCCCCACTCACAAAAGTGACTATAGTGATCTATCCCTCTCCTCTTGCAGGCAGGAGGGACAGGAAGTTGCTATGGTTACGCATCTCCATCGTTCTGAAAAGGTGGTAGATGACCAGTAGAAACAGTTAATGAACAAACAAAAACAACGAGAAATACATATAAATAAATGTGTCTTTTGCGGTTTCACTTGTCTTTGTGTGTTTTCTGGCCTGTGTGATCCCCCGCCCTGGTTTCAGCTGTCCCTCCTTATCATTATCATTTGTATCCTGTATGTTCGCTTGTCTAGGTGCTTTTCTTTCTCTTATGTGTTGAGCATCCCAGCCCATTCTTACTATTATCTCTGTGCTTTTTGGTCCTTCACCTTGATTTCTGGGCCGTTGCCTGTTTAATGGGCATTGATATACTGCTTAATGTGTTTGCCCACATTGTACTGTTTATCTGGTGTTGACCGGTGGCTGCCTGATCATCCCATAACATTTACTGTACCTTTTTGATGTTGTCCATAAATGAATTGAACTGCTCCAGCTCTGCCTTGGAGTCTACAATTTAATCTAGTCTCTTGCTTCTCTTTGCACAACTAGTGCGCATATAGCATTGCAATAACTGAAATGCATAAAAAGGCAGGATCTGAAGTTTCTCTGTCTTCATGTTTGACCCTGTGTTCATTTTTTATGATTTTGCTCTTCATCACTGTCATTTATTTTCTGTTCCACCTCATCTCCACCTGTTCCTTCAGATTACCTGATTTGTTGTTCCTTTGCCTTGTCTGTCAGAACTTCTGAATTGGTTTTAGAGGCCTCTGAGACTCAATAAGGCTTTGAAGTGGAGAAAAGGTAACATTCAGTAATGATCTGCTAATATTGGAGAACTGAATTTAACATTTTAAATGTTCTTACCTCTGTACATGAGCAGATATGCAGTCTGGGAACTGTTGAACAATCATTTATTTATTAATAATTTGTTGTTTGAACAGTAAAGTAACAACACTGAGTGAACATGTTGAGATATTACAACATATTTAAGATGAAACTGGATTCACAAACATACCTGTAAGTCTTTTTTGCAAATGGTTGTCCTTCAGCTTACACCTTTGAGAAGAACATTTGAGAAGAACACTTAATGTTATTTGTGTTTGTGGGTTTTGTATAAGTGCCACATTAATGGATGTGCTGGATGAATCCTCACCTTTTTGACTCATACCACGTTTTGCCCTGAGTGGACAGGATGGTGGCTGTGTATTGTCCACCAAACCCACAAGCAGGAGCCTTGCACTGTGAAGCCTCTCAGCCAGTGTAAGCAGCTGTGTAACATAATTGTGATTGGCCCCAGTGCAAATATTTTTATTGTGCTAGTACACCACTGCCCCCCCTCAAAAGTTATTCCCCACTGTTTATCATAATCCCTCTCTGCCACTTGTCATTACAAGCGCCATGGCATCGTAAAACATAATGAGCCCGGCGCTCCATATGGAGCCAGGACATGTTCACACACGTGTTTTTTACCATATGCAGTTGTTGGTGAAAACCAGCGAACCTGTGTGTCACTGGTTCGAGTCAGGACCATGCAGTACAACTCGGGGTTACATTGGTCAAGGAGGGATGGGCAGTTCTTTCTTTACTGGTGGTTGTTTCTCAGACAAAATGTCTGAAGCCGTGCTGAAGATATTGAGTCTGACTTATTGAGAGGTTTATGTAATATAGTGCAGTGGTTGCTGCTTTGTTAGCTGCCGACTTCCCTGTTGCTTGTGCCCATACCACGATTTTCTATTTTCAGAAGAACCGTATAAAGGAAACAATGGACAAGGCTACAACAGCAGTGAGTTGCATTAAACTATAATAATTCTAACTTTTGTTGATGGACAAACTTGGCAATTGATTAAAAGCAAGCATGTATATCTTACAGATCACTACACTACTCATATTGATAAAGTTACTTCTCCTCACCTTTATTTGTAATGAAGGTGGCACATCCACAGAGCAGTCTGGTTTGATATGTGACATGGTGTCGTAGTCAATATCAAATCTCTTGAGGAGTAATCAAATCAAAGTCTGAGGAAATGTCACCATCTCACATCCCTGAATGACAAAAGAAAAATTATTAAAGAAGTTCTGATGAAGATATCAGTGTATAAACAAAAGTACAAAGTGTTGTACATTTTTGACTAACTTACAATGAGTTTTCAATATTCAAAGTAAAAACTCACCCTGGTCGCCTCCGTTTCCTTTTTACATTTAGTGCAGAACATCTTGTTGTCTCCACTGAATGATTTAGACTCAAAAATCCTTTGAAAGCCTCTTTCCTGTGACAACATAAATAATCGCATAAATAAATTTCACCAACAGACCAATCTCACATCATCAAGATAAAACTCACTACGCTGTAGGTTGAATCAGGAGCATCTGTCAGTGACGGTGGAAGACTTCAGAATGGATTTGTCTCTTCATTAATAGGATACTCTGCATTTCTATTGTGCATGTTGTTTTGTAGGTCTGTCAATACATAATTCAAATTTGTTCACCTATAAGTTGCAGTCCAGGTTTTTTTTTACATACTCACCTCAGAGACTTGTGGGCTGACCTTATCTAAAATCCACTCCAGGCATTCAGCAGCATCACACTGTTGATAAACTGCAGAGCGAAACATCCATCCATCTGCAATCCCCAATGTTTTTGTGATGGTTTCTGTTCCACATGTCTTCATCTTCAAGCCTTCAAAGATGTTTCTGAGCTGAAAATCTGTTTGTATTTCTGGATCCAACCTTCAGGGAGAGAATAGTTTCTCAGTGAATAGTCACTGTTTACTGCCTGTAAACATGTTACTGATGGAGATTTGTGAATTTGAAACACCCATTTAGACCCAAATGACGCTATAATAATATTTTCTTTTATAATGTACATAATGTTTGTTATATTATGTTTGTTACAGGTGAAAGCAGCTGTTTCAAACCTGTTGTGGACCTCTGGTGTCATGAGGAGATCTTGCAGGACACTGTTGGGGTAACATGTGGCCTCCTGAGTATGCAGACTATAATGAAGTTTCTGTGGCTAAGTCAGTTCCTGGTTTTAAAAAAAAATGTGGTCATCACTGAACGTTACTGGTTTCATCCTGTCGTTCAGCTGCATCATCTGTCTGACCTTCTGGATCGGTCGGACGCTCTCTGGGTTTGTAGGAAAAGTAATTTACTCAGTAATTCATTCAGCAAAAGTCTGTTAATATTAAAGTAATAGCTTACATTTTCACCTCACCTTCTAAATATCTGATAAATGAAATTTAAAACACAGAAAATACAAAGGGTGACACGGTGGTGCAGTGGAGTTTGCATGTTTTGTCTGTGTGGGTTCTCTCTGGGTGTGCTTCCTCCCACGATGTCTCTGGATTGTCCTTAGGTGTGAGTGGGACTGGCTGTTTGTATATGTGTGACCCTGCAATGGATTGGCTACCTGTCCAGGGTTTAACCCCACCTTTTGGATAAGCGGGTTGACGATGGATGGAAAACACAAAAGTAATAAAGCTGCACTGCTCCCTCTTCTGTACAGCAGGTGCAGCATTGGATTATATACAAAAACGCTCAAAGATTTGGAAACTGGATACTAAATTTAGTTGAATAAAATAATTTGATAATCTTCTTCTTAATTTATCTTAAACATCTTCCCGGCAGTAGAAGGGGATTTATCTTGTCTTTCATTTCTTTTCAACTCCTTATTATCAGTGCTCTTGTCAGTATCATTGTGCAGGCCTACTGAAAATAAGCGTCATCATACAGTGTGCTGAGATGAAACCGAAAATATGGCAAACGAGGGACTTTCTGTAGGATATTAACTCACATGCACTACTGTGCAGGCGCTGCCAGAAGGATTATCAAAACAAAGAACAGAGAAGCTCCAATGACAACACACACAGAGACCGCGGTGAAGTTAGTTTTAGGGTGTGTGTGTGACTCATACTGAGTTTGGCATCTGCCCTGCACGCCATTTGAAAGTCTAATCTGTCTTATTTGTTCGCACTGAAGAGAACAGGCCGATAAGTTCACAGTATAAAGCATGAAGTCTCTTCCTCATCTCTGCCTCGTTTACATTTCAATTGTACATTCCCTAAAGCTTACACACTCATTAGGCCCCTATATAGCATTTTTATATTTATATCATGGTATTTACGAGTTATATTAATGTCAGAACAATAAGGGCAGCTGTGTCTTCTCCTATCCACTTGGCCTAGAAAACCTTCAGAAAGCGGTCTGATGAAGTCCTTTGAAAGGAGTTGGATTGAATCGGAGCTCTTCAATAACCTAGAGTCCTCAGAAGAGTTGCTCTGATTTGAAATTAAATTCTGACAGACGGAATTTGGAAATACCGACGCTTTGTCACGCTTTAAAAGCATCGTAATTGAAGCACTGAGATGAGAACGTGTTGGAATCCCAGGTGAAAATATGGGGTTTTATTATGGGTGGAAAACACCTGTGAGGACACGCAGACTCGAAACAATCAAACAAGGAAATTAATCAATGTTATAAATAGATTTATAAGCAATGCCCTCTGTCTCACTTTCTCTTTTGATTTCGCATTTATTGCGTTTCAAGTCACCTGTTACACTGTGTGTGATTGTTGGTAGCTTGACACCTGTAGAGAAGGTCTGATGGTCTCTTGTTGGATCTTTTAATCATTTTTTTTACTTTTAAATCACTTCATTTTGCAAAATGCTCAAACTTACTATATTTCACAAATTTTTGAAATTCCTACATTTTATGTTATCATAGTCTCGTTGTTAGCAGTGCAGAACAATGTTACAAAGTCATGTAGGACAGGTCTCTTGCAGTAACTTAGTTATAGTTTTATTAAATTACATTATACAAAAAAAAAACTTTCCAGTTAACTTAAGTTACAGTACATTCTATGATGCAATACTTCTTTGTAAGGCTTAATGAACAGTATAAGCTCTAGTGTACAAGATATTCTCTGGATCCCAGTTTGTATTTTGTCCATCCATCCATCGTCAACCGCTCATCCTGCGTACAGGGTCGCGGGTGGGCTGGAGCCAATCCCAGCTGACATCGGACGCAAGGTGGGGTACACCCTGGACAGGTCGCCAGTCCATCGCAGAGTTTGTATTTTGTATCCCACAATAATTTTTACTAGGAAAAAACAAACTTCTCCATATTTACCCCTGTTATTTGTCATGAAAATGTTTGATAGTAGGCCATCATACATTTTATGCCAGGTTGAAAACCATCACATTCAGTCTGATGTAATATGTAGGCTAACCACTATAACTTTTGCTAGGAAAATAGAAACTTCTCCATATTCACCCGTTTTTAATCATGATGTGAAGTATACACAAAATAAAATACTTGACAGTAGGCCATCATCTGTGCATTATGGAGGGGGATACATATTTTGGCAGACTGCATGTCCAGTCTTCTAGGATAGGCTACTGTTATCACTATTTGTGTATGAAAAGTTCTGTTTAAATGCAATGCACTATTAAATTATGATAATAATTTACCCTTTAAGGAGGGGGACTCAGAACAATTTCCAGCGATATCCAAAGCCTATCCATGCAGCGGAAACATGGATTACAAGGACAAAATATTGTCTACAATGCTGCATTCAGTTTAATGTACACTTTGTTGAAAGGAACATATATTACTATGATTATTGTAGACCAGGGCTATTCAATTACAAATTCAATTGGGTCGGATTTTAAAACCAGGACACAGAGATGTCCCCTAACCCTATTGGTTCAGTTCTTTATCAATGCCCTTATGAGTACTGTTTATTACTAAATAATTATTTTAAAAAATAACGTAACATTTTTTATTCAAATGTTGTTTATAGAGCAGCAACAGGATTTACAACAGCAAAGTCACTAATATCTCACTGGAAACAAATCTAAAATGTCAGTCAAATAAATCCTGTTCCTGAATGAACAACTCAGTCCCTCCGCTCCTCCTCTCACTGCTGCTGCTGGTATGAGTTGCTGAGTATAATGTCATATTTTAATGTAGGCTACGTGGCAAAGTAAGCTGAACAGTTACTAAAGACAGCTTTCACTTTAGCTTGTTTGTAACAATAAGCTATTAGTTGAACTAGCGCTGTGCTTGTGTAAAACCAAAACACAGCTGCAGTGGATGAGAGACTGAGCAGATTAAAACATCGCATTTTGCGTGTTTATGCTTATTAAACAGGTGTGTTGGGTTTTGGCTTTTTACTCCCTAAGTTTTTATTGCACCACGTAGGCTACTTACACTAACAAGCGTAGCTGTCGTCAATGTCGGTAATGTCCGCCGGTCAGACTTCGTGTGTGTGGAGTGGAGGCGCTCTGCAGAGACACAGAGGAGGGGAGAGGCTGCAGGTTGAGCTTTGTGAAACTCAACAAAGATGAGTAGCAAACTATATAGCTCACTGTTATACTTTCACTATACACATAGCTTAAACTTTCATTGTCATATCCTGTTAGATTGTGTGCTGGGCCACATGGAGGTTGCTTTGGGCCAGATGTGGCCCGCGGGCCGCCAATTTAATAGGGCTGCTGTAGACTTTTCGTTCAGAGTGGGGCCATAGGGGCTCCAAGGTCTGTGATAGATTGAACTATAGTTTCTCACGCAACATATGATGCATTTTTTCTTTTCTAATTTCAAACCACTATGGAAATACACTGGCTGACAGGGGTGGGTGGGTTGTAACACGCGCGCGTTATAACCATCCACGATATGTAAAACTAGGTACTTTCTTGATTTTAATATTTTCCAGGTTGCCCTATGCAGTCTGGGCCCACCAAACCCGCACTTCAGGGTTACCAGCATTAATTTGTCAGCACTTTGACCAGTACCCCCCATTCACATATGGTACACACGTTGGCCTGTGTATCACTGGACCTTTTCCATACTCGGTCCCCGCCGGTTGAGAGGGTAGAAAAGTGTATGGACAGCTCGTGAGAAGTGCCTGTGCGCAAGAAAAAGTCCCGGTACGAGTAAAACATAGAAATGCTGGTATTTGTACCGGTGAATACCTTCAACCACTGACTGTGACTCTGAATAAGAATATACACACACTGACACACACACACACACACACACACACACACACACACACCTCTTTTTAGTTAGACCTAAGGATGTAAAGAGATGTTCTTTAATGAATTACATTTTAGTAGTAGTATAAAAGTATAAAAAAAGTATACTTTTAAGTAAGTTTATTCTATAGATACATTTACATAAACATAGTAGGCCTACATGCGCGTGAGTCATCAGACAAAGTCTGTTACAGCAAGAGAGAAACATTGTTCTTTGATATTACTACCTGTTTTGGAAGCATATAGGGGTAGGTTATAACACATGTTGACCTCAACTCACGAGGTCTGTGATATTCTTGTAGAGGATTGAATTGGTGCCATTTGTAGTGAACAAATGTGGGTACTTTGTAAAAAATGTGAGAACTCTAGCTAAAAAAATCAGTGAGTTAAAGTTACTGAAACAAAAAGTGTTACAACCATACCCGGTCTCCCATAAGCATATCATACAAATTTAAAGAAAAGGACACTCAATGATTTTTAAAAGTTTATTTAGCCTACTTTACAGGTTATGCTCAAACTTGATCTTAATAATAAATTAGGCTACTGTGAGCATGTAGAGATTTGTTGTGACATTGAAAGTTCCTTACATATAACCCAGGAAATAAAGATTTTAAAAAACTAAGGACAGTGAGTAGGCTGCCTTTCAGATTCTGCTGGCAGTGTTTGAGGGAACGGAAAGGTCCGGCTCCACTGTGAAAATGATGGCTGCTTCAATGAGCCATTAGAAACAGGTGTTGTTGGTCTTGCGGTGTTGAGGAGAGTCTGCAGGGTTTGCCTTCATCAGACGCCTCCGGACAGTCTCAGCAGTGCATGAACCGTAGACATGTGCTTTATCTTAGAGGAATCCAGGGTGGCCAAATCCTCTAGCATCTTGGTTAGGAAGACGATCCGCAAGTCGTCATCTTAAAGCAAAAGTAAATAGTCTTAAGAATTATGGTTAATGCCTAGATGTGGGCTTCACAGTTCGCTAAAGTACGATTATTACACGTCTGGTCTATTTAGAACAGCTACAAGGTAGACTTTAAAACTTAAAAAAAAAAAAAGAGGCATCATTGCTAGACTGAAATCGCGATAAAACATCACAGTGAAAAGTTTAAAAGTTAAACCACATTTCAATCAAATCCGCATAGATGCCTTACACTTTCAAATGAGAGAAAAATTAAGGACTGAACGAGGGCTTAAGTACACTCTGTTTTGATTTTTAATCATTACATGGCTTACCTGTCTTCAGTTCCTGATTAATTTTCTTTATCAGGTCCCGTACAGTGATCTGCTTCAGCTGCTCGTTATTGTCGCACACTTTGAGGATCTTTTCCCCTCCTCTGGGAAACTGTACGTTCACTTGGATGCACATTTTACTGCAGTGAGGACTGTGTGGAGTGCTCTTCGGTGCTGATTATTTGGGTATAGGCTACAGAGAAACTGAAACTTCAGGTAAAGAAATGGGGGGGGGGGGGGGGGTTGACTTGGGTCACATATTAAACTGACAGTCACATGACTTCATGGAAATTAACAGCGACAGCAACGAAAACACTCAAAGCCTCAGAGTGACAAGTGAACAGAGCAATAACTCCGCACAACAGATAAGCAATATGACACAACAGGAGAAGTGTTACGACCCTCGAGACAGAACACTTACATTTGTCAATGGAGATGATGACTTAGACTGTAAGTATTCAAATGTTATATTAACACGCGTTAGTCCTAAAAATATGAACACCAGGTGTATAAACTTTTAGCTGTGACTTTTACATAGAATAAGTAGCCTATGTAGCCCTTAATTATAGCTTATAACACTGCGCGTTTCTCCTTGTTTCATAGTTCTGTGCGATGACTTCAAGTCTCTCAGAGCAAAGATGTCCTGTGGTCATGCTGTCACTCCGATGTCTCTCACCAACTGGTGTCGCAGGTTGCTGGATAAGGTAGGCTATACTGTTAATTGCTTTATTTAGCGGTGAGAAAGGAGAAGTTTAATTCATTAACTTTATTTCTGAGGAGTTGAAATGGTGTTGGTTGATAGCAGTGAACCACTGCAGCCGCACATTGATGAACGCTGAAGAATGTGGTTATTATGTTTCACTCTGAAAGACACTGTAGGAGCCATTTCAATGTTTTATATCATGGTTTGGCCAGTAGGTGGCGCCAGGGTGCTGGAATATCAAATTGAGGCTCATCTACTTAGTGGGGCAGGTGCAATGAAACACAACTGTTGTCAGAAGGAAAAGCCAACTAGTTTTTATTACCGCCACGGACGCCGCTGCTGTGGGTGTTTGTTTGTTTGTTGAAGCCTATAAGCCTACTGGAAAGCTGTTGATGTCATTATGTAGGCCTATTCTTGCCATTTGTTGAAGACCATATGTGCCAGAAATAAATCGGATCTCCCATAATTGACAAGAAAGTACAAGTCGGACTCTCCTTGCTTTCTTTCAACTAGCTGAGCGGGTCAATTAGGCTACTTCAGCCCTCTGTGTGGCCGTGGTCATAATCATAGCTGCTGTAACTCAGAGAGGGGAACTCAACCTTATACCAGCTTCTAAAAAAGTTACAACCTGAGATCTCTTTTGTACTTTTATACTAAAACTTCAAACAATATCATACCACATGAGAATTACTTCCCTCTTCCCAAGATTGGAACATTTACACAGTGCATCCATGAATCATTTTTCCTTTGTGGCAGGCTGCATTATCCTGCTGAAACAGGGCCACAACCATCAGGGAATACCATTTCCATGATAGGGTGTACATGGTCTGCAACAATGCTTAGTAGTATGCATTATGAACATTGGAACTGACTGAAGTCCAAAATCCTGAACACTGACCAAGAGAAGTCCTTGGTTTAAACATAAAGAGAAACCAGGACTGGTTTGACGGCAATGATGAGGATAGATGTTCAATAGAACATCTTTTCCACAAACCACAGCAGCAACACACTGACAAATGCTGAATTTGGAATGAAGAATTTGGTCAATGTTTTTCACTCTTAAAGTTTTTTCTTTGATTTTCTTTTTAATATCTAAGGGTGAGTGCAGATTTGTGTGTGGCCAGACTAACTGTGATGTTGAGTGGCCATATGAGGAAGTTTGTAAAATGGCTCTTCTAACCAAAGAAGAAATGAAGTACTTTGAAAAGAAAATGTTCAGTAATGCTGCCAAGGACTTGGTTGTGAAATCTGTAAGTATCTCACTGACACTATTAACTAACTCTGAAAAAATGTTGTGCATTCAATTTCAAGGGTGAATTTAAAAACCTCTCATTCTGTGTAACTTCACTCAACAGTGTCCTGGCTGCAAGTCTCGCATAGTGAGGGCTGATCTCAGTGATCTGGGTGTCGAGTGCACAAAGTGCACAGCTGCCAAAAGAAGACCTTTCAGATTCTGCTGGCAGTGTTTGAGGGAATGGAAAGGTCCGGCTCCACGTTCAGACCGCTGTGAAAATGATGGCTGCATCAATGAGCCACTAGAAACACTGAGAAACTGTCCAGATATCGTCTTTGAATCTGTGGAGGGCGTCACTGGCTGTCCCTGCATCCGTGCCTGTCCCACCTGTGGTTTGCTGGTGGAGCATAACAGAACTCAGTGTAAAAACATCTATTGCCCTCGCTGTAAGGTGGAATTCTGTTTTGTGTGTCTGAAGTTCACTGAAGAGTGCCTGAAGTCATCTTCAGAATTCGAATTCTGCTTCACTGCCCCCAGACAGACCTCTATACCTGTGTGGAAGAGGAAATACTTCTGTTAATTTAACAAATACAACTTTTTATTTTCAAATTAAAAAATGAACCGCTGGGACAATGACCTGAAACTTCTGCAGGCATGTAAGACCATCACTCTTCCCGAGGCGGAGGCGGTCACCGACTGCCCTCTATCCAAGCCTGTCCTACATGCGGCATGAAGGTGGAGCATAGTCAACTATACTGCAAAAATATCAACTGTCCTAACTGCCACGTGGAGTTCTGTTTCGTCTACATGAAACTAATGTTGCATGACCAGTTCACCATGCAAAATCTGTAGTGGTGATGCTCCTGGACAGACCTCTATCGCCCGTTGTGATAGAAAAGGAAGAAAAGGTTTGTCTGTGCTGTAGATGTTCAAAGGTACTAATATTATATTACCCTGTAAATAATTAGCAATTGTTGATGTGTGACAAACACACATGCTGTAACTCCATTTAAGATAACATAACATCCATTTTATTTGTGGCCCTACTCTGCCTCCTTCTGGCTGGACTTTATGTTGTACATGACATGACGGTCAGATGTTTAGTTGTAAATAACAATTACTATGTACTGAGCTACTGATAATGTCAGATTCATGATATATATGTGTAAGTACAGCTAAATGTACCTGGTGAAATGTAAGAATAAAGAAGAAAATTTGAAACGTGAAAATAAAGTTATGGTCAAAATAATATTGGTAAGTTTATATTTCAAATGCATCTAAATTCATAAATAGTTGCATTTATATTGTGCTTTTTTAAAAAGCACTTTATAATCCTTACCTCTCATTCACCCTTTCACACACACAAACAAACACACAGATGACAGGGAGCTACCATGCAAGATGCTGGCCTGGCCATCAGAAGCAATTTGTGGTTCAGTGTCTTGCCCCATTCAAGCTCCACATTCTGTTGAACATGTATTTTTTAACTCCCACATAATGGCACCACCTTCGGGCCATTATTCTTACTTAAGCCAAACCCAGATTTCCACATGCACCGATCAGCCATAACATTATGATCACCTAATATTGTGTAGGTCCCATTTTTGCCTCCAAAACAGCCCTGACCCATCAAGGTATGGACTCCACTACACCTCTGAAGGTGTGCTGTGTATACCTGGCACAAAGACAGCAGTTGCAGATCCTTTAAGTCCTGCAAGTTGCGTTGTGAAATAGAATAAAAAATGAACAAAAGTTAATTTTCAACATTTAATAACATATATGTGTACCTATGGTGTAAACACAATGATTTTAAAGCTCTAAATCATTACAAGACTAAATAAATAAGATTAACAGGCTTTTTATTGTGTCTGACGGTGTCTGACAAAAACTAAGTAAAGACAGGCAAAACACATATTTTATGAAAAAATGTCAAAATCAGGTTGCACCAAAATACTGCTAGATTGGTGAGATCTTGTAGAATAAACACATAAGTTTAGATTTCTTAATATTACATTTTATTTCTTTCAAAATTAAAACCTGTTTTATCCAAATTCTCAAGAATCAGTGCTTTACCTTGTATCTAATATGTACATTTAATATTATGTAGTGTCCGCAATGTAGTTGTGAGCAAATGTTGTTTGACTGACAAGACATTTTACAAATGTTGTGATGTGGGAGAAAAGCTGATGACACAGTTCAGAATGTTGCATTATAAATACTCATATGCATTTTACTCACCACATTTATAAATGATGAGTCAAATAAGATTAAACAGTATGAAAAATACAGATACAGTAGATAGTACTGATTTATTGTCTTGATTGCCTTTTATGTAGAACTACTGTTTAAGAGAACAATGTCAGGTATTACAAACTTTTCACTAAGCTGATACTCCTTTCTGTATTACCAAGTACGGTAAGGTGGTGTACAACAAAAAGTGGAGCTTGTACCCAATGAAGGTAGAGAATGACTACAGATACATCGCGGACCTCCAGAGTGATATCCTCCTCCGACCATTGTCTGCTTCTGAGGAGATGCCTAGAAGCAGAACCAGGAGACCTGATGATCCCCATCAACATGGGGTTCTGTCAGGTGTCGCTGCCCCTAGATACAGCAAGGTGTGTAACAAAAAGTAATATGGTTGGTTTTGAAATGTGGTAATCATGTCAGAGAGGTGATTGAGATACTAAATAATCTCCACAGCAGCGATACGAAACTACGTGTAAAGTCTGAACTGTCTTCATAATCAGTCAAGATACCTCTGAACACAACTTGTCTTTCATTCTGTATATCATTATTTTAATAATGATAAAGTTATCTATTTGTGATATAGGTTGGTTTTTTTGTAGTATAATAATAATCAATGCATTCTCATGTCATTGCGTTATAACTGACACTTTCAGACAGAGTGACAAAAAGTATTTTGCGCTAAAGGTACCCTTTAGCGTCAATTTTGAAACACCACCATTTGCTACGTCCCAGCAACACAAAGGAGGCTAACCCTACCTGCTAGCACATCGCACTGTGATACCGATGTGCACAGTTGTAGGGTTAGTTGGTCAACATGCATAAAGTCAGTGACTTAGGTTTAGGTACTAACATTTCTGATGGTTGTGGTAAGGGTAGGGGGCTTCGGGGGTCTGTCAACACCTTTAACACAAACATAGCTAGCTAGCTAGCTAGCACTTCCGGTCTGTACGAGATGCCCCAGAGCGTCTCATAGAGACACATCTGGAAGTGTCTCTTAGGCTGTGTTCGAGACCGTTCGGAACAGGGATATTTCCCCGTTGAAACTTGCGACATCAAAGTGTTTCAGGTGCATGGTGGTCAATGACGCCGAAAGTGAACGAAAACCATGGCTGACCGTGACATAGTTGCACCCTCAGCAGTGTTTTAGGTGTTAATTAAAAGGATGGCAGTTAACTGCAACAACTGACATAAATAGAAATAAATGTATATTGGGGAGACAACCACTACACAAACGCATGGCTCAACACAGAAGGGCCAACTCCTCAGGTCAAGACTCTGCTGTCTACTTACATCTGAAGGACAGAGGACACTCGTTTGAGGACCACCAGGTGCACATTTTAGACAGAGAAGATGGATGGTTTGAAAGAGGTGTCAAGGAAGCCATCTACACCAGGGTTGAGAAGCCGTTGTTGAACAGGGGAGGGGGTCTACGCCACCACTTATCCCCCACTTACAATGCTGTCCTTTCATCACTTCCCAGGAAACTCAACAAACGTAACCTATTGGCCTCAGGTGAAGATACCAACGATGGTCGTTCAGTCTTGGCCTCAGGTGAAGATACCAACGATGGTCGTTCAGTCTTGGCCACAGGTAGTCTCAACGACTGTAACGACTGTCGTCACAGCAACAAGGAACACTAACGAACCAGCGGTATCGATGACCCGAGATAACGACCCCACTGAGGTTAAATAGCTGAGTTTCCCTGCCAGTCAGTCAGAACTGAAGAAGTCCTTTGGATAAGGGACGAAACGTCTTCCAGTAGCTTCAACCAAGTCCAGTTGCCCTTCATTTTAACCTTCGTTGGATAACTATGACCTGGATGACTGAGAATCTTCATAGACATCTGACATAAATAGACCATACGTTACTAGTTCCCCTTCGAGGGAACTGCGTCGGTTACGACACTATGGGAACGCCTCTAGGCGAAGCAGGTCTGAACGTGAATGAAATCACTCCAATCCTATTGGCCTGTTGCTAGAACGGTAAGGTGTGACGGAATAACCGGAGGAGTATAAAGCACACCTGTACACACTCATCATTAGCTTTTTTTATTCAGCAGGCGCTCTGTATGTTGTTTGAAGAAAGCTCCAGTCCTACAAGCAGTGTGTCTTACCTGAAGAAGAAGTCTACCAGCATGTCCGGCAATCAGATGTACAGAAGGTGTGTTTTTTCTTGCCCTCGGTACATCACGGATGGAGATTCTCATGAGATGTGTGTCTCATGTTTGGGGATGGAGCACGCACGGGCAGCTCTCGAGGGGGCTGCCTGCGCCCGTTGCGAAGCCCTTTCCGTGCGGGTACTGAGGTACAGCATGGCTCTCTTTCCGAGGATGGCCGGATGTGTTTTCCCCGTGGTGTGGTCCCTGCGGCCGCTGAGGCGGCTCGGCGGCTTCACTCATGGGTTCACAGCGTGATCTGTCGGAGGATTTCGGGACGGCTGAGGCTTTTTCCCGACCTTCATCCGCTGGCTCCGACGCTTCCTTTCCTCGTTCGGGAGCCCGTTCTCGGCTTCTCCCGCTCGCGGTTTGGATCCGGAGACGCTGCAGCAATCCGACTCCGAGGAGGCGGACTTGCTCAGCGCAGTGGACGATGACTTCCGGGTGTCGGGGCGGCGTCATCTGGCCGCGCCCGACTATGACGTGCTGCTGGAGGTGGTGACTAGAGCCGTGGCTAAGCTCAACATCAACTGACCACGGGAGGAGCAGACACCACAGGCTAGTGGTAGCTTGATGAAAGGTTTCTTAAGCACCTCACGCCACCTCCACGCCGGTCTCTGCCATTCTTTCCTGATTTACATGATGAACTGAGTAAATCATGGGGCAGACCCTTCTCTACATGGCTTTCCACACCCCGATCACTGAACTACAGTAATGTGATGGGGTTAGGGACCGTGGTTATGGGAGGATGCCTCGGGTGGAGGATGAGCTTGCGAGCTATCTCTCCCCTCGACTTGCGTCCTCCCTGGAGAAGCCGGCGTTACCATCCAAACCATGTCGCACCACATCCACGCTTGTGGGGAAGGCGTACATGGCAGCGGGCCAGGCAGGTGCGAGCTTGCACACCACGGTGCTTCAAGCCTACCAAGCCAACCTGCTACAGGAGATGGTTCAGAGGGGGGGTCCCTCTGAGGAAGATCTGGCGGAGCTTCGCAGAACCACGAAGCGTTAGACGCAGTGCGAAGCGTTCCGCCAGTACCTCCCTCGCCGGTCTGGACCCAAGGCAGCTGAGGCTGCCAGGCGTAGGTCCCTTCCCTCTACGAGCTCCTACGGAGAGGAGGGAAGCAGAGTGTCGCTTCTCGGGGGCCCCCCGAGGAGCTGGGGCAGCGAGACGGCGCTCTCACCCTCAGCCGTCTGAGAGACGCGATCTGAGGACCGTCATCCAGTCCCGACGGAGCTCAGGGAAGACCGGGGTAGGGGAGTCTTTCTCCCCTCCCAAACCCCCCCCCACCCCCCGGAGGCCGACCGAGGTCCCCTCCGCCGTGGCAACAGGTGATGTTATCCCGCCGTTTACACGTTCAGGACGCACCTGCCACCATCGAGTCCGCGCCGTACTGCCTGCCCCGAGGGTCTGCAGGCGGACGGCATCCCGACTCACTCACTGTGGATCTTCGGCGGCTCCCCCCTGCCGTTCTGGGGCTTCAGGGGTCCACCAGAAGATCACACGAGACACCGACCACCAGCCCCGAGGGGCTGGTTCCGTTGGCAGACTTTGCAGACGCTTGGCGGAGCCTGACGAACATTTCTCCGCGGGTCCTGCGCACTGCCATAGATTTCATTCACGTTCAGACCTGCTTCGCCTAGAGGCGTTCCCATAGTGTCGTAACCGACGCAGTCTCTCGTTCCCCTTCTCGGGGAACCAGGGTTACATACGTAACCCGAGACGTTCTGTGTACCCCTCTAGCTACTTCAGTTGGTAATCCTCAAGTCAGTCACTTCCTAATGTTTTGGCATTTTTAACAATGACCTTTATGCAGAGAAGATTTTAGAGAAG